TCTCCCTCTCCCGCCCTGAACTGTCGTGGTCTCTCCAACCACAGGCTCTCGCACCGCCGCCGAGTGCGGCGCCTGCCTGCCTGGCTTCCACGAACATGCCGGCCACTGCGTGTCCTGCCCCACGTAACGTCTGGCTGCCCCGGGGGGGCGGGGGGCTGGGAGCAGAGTGGGGGCCAGGGAGGGAAGGCGGGAGCTTGGCCCTCTGCTGGGCCGGCCCCGCTGCAGGCCTGGTACAGGGATTTGCCTCGTGCCGGGCAAACAAGGCGGGAGCCTCCCTCCCCTCTCGCCCTCAGCGGGCCCTCCGGCTGGGCATTGCCAGGCTGTGGCCCCAAAGAGCCAGCCAAGTGCTCTGGCGCAGAACCTGGCGCCCCTCGGGTCTGCCGTTTGTCCCCTGTTGATCCTGGGCAAGTTTCGTATCTCCCACTCCAGTTTCCCGGGGTGCTCATGGGTGGGAGCCCCCCCAGGGCCAGCGTGATGGGTCCCACACTCCATCCACTCGCTGGTTCGCCCCACAGGGGCTGTTAAGCAGGTGCCGTTTTCCAGGCTCTGACGGGGGTGCTGGGAGACAGCGGGGCCACACATGTCCCAGCCTTTCGGGCCATCCGAGTCACTTTAATACAGACGGAGGCTGGTAACAGTGGCGCCGGTCAAAGGGACACAAGCGGCTTTTCTGCGAGACTTTGGGAACGTCCTTGGGTAGCGTGAGGCTCGCAGCGGCCAGGCAGGGAGACAAAGGCCTCGGCTGTGACGCCCTCACCCTCGCCCGCCCCCTCCTTGCAGGACAACCCTGGGGCGCTGTCCAGAGCCCTGTGTGGCCATCTGTGGCTGGAGGCAGAGTAAGCGGCCTGCTGGGGCCACCAGCAGGAGAGCTGGGAGGGCGGGTGGGCGGGACGTGGCTGCCGCCGCCCACCCACCAGCCGCTCTCAGTGTTCTGGATGCAGCTGCTGCTGGCCAGCCTGGCTGTCCTACTCCTGCTTGGGGCCGTCCTGACCTATGTATACTGCTGCTGCAGGCCTTCCAAGCCCAGGGTGGCTGGTGAGCGTGCACACACATTTCTAGGGGCCTCGGGTCAGGATGGGTAGCCCCGAGCCCACTCATTCCCAGTGCAAAAGGGGAAACTAAGGCAGGAAGTGCCGGAGGAGTGCAGAAGACTGGGGAGCAACTGGGCCAGGACTGGTCCAGCCTGGCCTGGCTGCTCAGCAGGTCCTCTCTGTGTCTCTCAGCAGAACAATCTGGGGTGGAGGCTTGGACGCCCCTGCAGGTGAGACTGGCATGGCCGCAGGCTTCTGGAGCTGGGAGGTTGAGCCTCAAGCCAGGCTACCGCCCCAGTGTGGGCGCAGCGGCTGCCAGGGTGGACCGGGCGCACCCGCGTGCCCCGAGGTGCGGGGAGTGCGGCCAGCCCGGTGCCTGCCTCCAAGGGCTCTGTCCACAGTGGAGCGGGGTCGGTGCCCCAGGTGGCGGTGCCAAGAGGGTCAGAGTGACGGGGAGGGCGGCAGGGGCAGGTGTGCCGAGCGTGGCCAGTGCAGGCAGGCTGAGGGCACTTGTGGGCTCTGCAAGGGGCTTCTCCTGGCCGGACCCCAGCCAAGGGGCCTCTGTGGGCAAGGATGCTGACCTGGGCCTGTCCGCCTCCAGGTGACCCACTCCTCACCGCCAGAGTGCGCCCGCGCCCTTCTGGTGCCACCCAGTGAGAAGGCCCACCTGGAGAATGGCCGGACCCCCTGCGCCCCCCAGGAGGTCCCCTGGGGCCAGCTGCCCTGCAGAGCTCTTGGTAAGGGACTTCAGGGGCTTAGCGGGCCAGATGCCCCTCCCCACGGGGCCCAGCCGCAGCCCGAGCTCGTCCCGCTTTGGTTCTCTCCTGGGGCCAGGTCCCACGCCGCTGCCCGCGCCCCCGCCAGCTCCGCCTGCAGGCGCGGCGGCCTCGGTGCTGCAGCCCGGCGCGCAGCTCTACGACGTGGCGGACGCGGTGCCCGCGCGGCGCTGGAAGGAATTTGTGCGCACGCTGGGGCTGCGCGAGGCGGAGATCGAGGCGGTGGAGGTGGAGGTCGGCCGCTTCCGCGACCAGCAGTACGAGATGCTCAAGCGCTGGCGCCAGCAGCAGCCCGCCGACCTGCGCGCCGTCTACGCGGCCCTGGAGCGAATGGGGCTGGACGGCTGCGCCGAGGACCTGCGCAGCCGGCTGCAGCAGCGCGGCCCGTGAGGCGGGACCCGCCCGCCACCCCAGGCTACGTGGGCGTCCCCGAAGACCTAAGTACAGTTACTTATGCGTGTAGACATTTTATGTCACTTAACAAGAAGCCCCTGGGTTGGCCCTGAGAGCAGCGCCGGCGCCCCCAAGGCCCGGTTCAGCCCAAAAAGCAGGATGAATAGCGCGAGGGGTTTAGCTGATTCCTTGGTATTAAATTAAAAATAATAATAAAGCTGCTTGTTTCTTCCGCAGGGTTGGGAGAGTTAAGGGGGCGAGCTCGGATTCTTGAGGGAGGGTGTGGAAAGGGCCAGGCGGCTCGCCGGCCCCCTGGGGTCTGGGATTGCCGGTATGGGCCGGGCGGCCCCCTCCCCCCTCCCCGCGGGGCCCTTACCCCAGGGGGCATGTCATGGGGACGGAGAATGAGAATCAGCGTGGCCTCCGGCGGCTGAGAGAGCTTTATTGGGGTGGCGGCGGGGGGCGGGGGGCGCGGGTTCAGACCCTCGTCCGCCACTCACTGCACCGGGGCGCAGGAGGGGCCGGGCGGGGCCGGGCGGGCACTCGCAGGCTGAGCTGGGGGACTGGGGCGGAGGGGGCTCTGGCGGCGGCACCTCAGTCCCGGCGGCAGTTTGCAGTTTTCACGGTTTCTGGTAAACAAGTGACTGAGAGGAAACCCGGGGCGGAGGGGGGGAGCCCGGCGGCGCAGATCTGGGTCAGGCGGGGCGGGAAACCCCATCCCTGGCCCCGGGCCTGTCTCCGCCCAGGATGCCACAGAGAAAAGGGTTCCGGGGTGCGGGGGAGGGGGCTGCCGCGGGAAGCGCCCCGCGGCGAAAACAAGGCCGCCACCCACGGGGCCGCGTGGGGTGGGGGTGCGCTGCACACTTTGACCTTCGACGGCATGCAAATGCATGTAAATGCGCATGCAAATAAGCAGCATCTTTTCGCGCAACAGCTTGGGCACTTCTCTGGGCGACTGCGGCGGCCGGCGGGGCGCTCCAGTATCGCCCGGGCGAGGGAGGCGGGGTCCGTGTGGGGGTCCAGGAGGGTTCCAGCGCGGGAGGGGAGGACAAGGCGGCTCCCAGCCCTTCCGCCAGGGCCTCGCAGTAGGGGCGGGGGCGGGGCCGGCCCCGGGAGCTCGCGCGCGGCTGCAGGCAGGGGGGCGGCGTCAGTACTTCGCGATGTCGCCCTTCTTCAGGATGATCTGTCGCTGCCAGGGCGCCAGCTTGGTCTCATCGTAGCCCAGCGTCCGCAGCTTCTCTGACTGCTCCTTCTCCCGCTGCAGCTCCTCCTGCTTCTGCCTCTCTTCCTCTTTCCTGGGCACGGGTGGGGTCCGGGAAGCGGACAGGTGAGAGAGGGTAGGTATGGCACCCCGCACGGGGGCTAGGAGGGTTCCTAAGGGCAGGGGCTGGGTTCCTGGGGTCAAGGGGTTAAGCTGGTGGTCAGGGCAGTGGGTGCTAGGGACAGTGGGCTAGGTTATGGGGGGGAGGGCTGGGGCAGGCAGCATTGCTGGGAACAGCTTGATTGGGGCAGGTTGGGGTTACAGAGCACACTGAGGGGGGAGGCCGTGGCTGGTGGTGGGGCTGTTCTTGGAAGCAACTGCGGGGTCACAGAGGGGCAGAGAGTGCTATGGGTGGGGGTGGGGTGGAGGAGCTGGGGTTAGGCTGCTGGGGAGCTGAGAGACCCTATTTTGGGGAGACAGTGGCTGGCAGAGACAGGAAATGAGAGGTCGGACACACCAGGCATGCAGCCGCCGGCCCAGCTGGCCGTTGAGCATTTGAAGTATCATAATTGAGATGTTATAGATGACTTCAATAATTAATTTTAAAACGTCAAATATCCCACGAGTGATCCGTATTAACTATGTATTGAAACATATAATTTCTATTTCCATATCATGTTAAACGGTTATAATTCAGTTCACCTATATCTTTTCCCCAGTGGGATTACTAGAACATTTAACATTCCTCGTAGCTTGAATTACATTTCTATAACACTGGGCTAGATTACTAGGGCAGAGACTAAGTTTTAAGGGACAGGCGATCGGAGTTATTGACACTGAGCTTGGGTTTCACGGCAGGCAGAATGGCTAGGTGGGTGGGGGATTTGGAGACAAGGTTATTAGGGCACAAGAGCAAAGCTTTGGGGGACAGGGCAAAATTACTGAGGGAGTAGGGAGGGGGCTGGTGGCATTACTAGGTGCAGGGAGGCCATGCTGCAGGGCTGAGTAGCAAGGGGTGGCATTCAAAGGGAGGCTGAATAAAGAGGCAAAAGGGGTGACCTCTGTGACTGGCTTGGCGGGGGGGAGGCAAGCCGGGTCAGCCCACACTCACCGCTTGTGCTCCCTGGAAAGGAAAAGACAGCATTAGCCGGTCCCTGCGTCTGGGTCACCATCAGTGCACTGCCTGGCCCACATCTCCTGGACCTGCAGCTTACCTCTCCTCCTCGAGCTTCTTCCTCAGGATGTCCCGCCTCCAGGCAGGCATGCTGGCCAGGCGGGCTTCCTCCTCCTCCTCCTGAAACACAGGCAGAAGCTTCAGGGCCAGCATGGGCTGGGAGGCAGGGCCCAGAAGGGATGCACCCCAGCCCCCCACTTGCTGAAGTCAGGACCTGTGGGGCCGGATGGGGTCACACCTCGCTGCCTTGCCATCGGGCAAATGGACAAGGATGCCTGGCTCCAACTTCCTGTCCAAGCCCCAAGCCCCATGAACCCAGGCCCTGCGTCCCAGAGGCCACGCCAAGGAGCTGAGTGAGCGTGGGGGGAGGGGCAGAATGAGCGTCCAGGGGGGAGCTGCACAGGTGGCCCAGGCCTGGGGCCCAGAATGTCTGGGTAACCTCAGCTTGGCTTCTGCAGGCCCTGCCAGTGCCCCCGGGGCCCCGCCCCCATTCTGCTGTGAAGGCCCTTCTGGCCCACCCGTGCCCTACCCCCAAATGGCGCAGACCTAGCTCTCAGCAGCAGTGACTCTGGAGGGGGCACCCAACACATGGATGAGGGAAAAGCGCTTTATTGCTTGTTACAGAGGAGAAAGGGTCTCAGGCGTCACACTGAACACGGCATGCCGCGGGGCTCCCGTCTTTGGAAAGCTGCGCTGCCCCAAGGGGGCCCCACAGTCCCTCACTCGGCTGGCTTCTTCCTCCTGGCCACACACGGAGCCCCAGAAGCCTGCAGGGCCAGGAGAGAGACCTGGTTTGCCCTGTGCCCTGCCTATGAGGCTAATGCCCCAGATCCAGCCTGGATGGGACCTCAAAGGCTGAGGCAGCCGCCTGGGTCCTGGCACGCTGGTTTCCCAAGGCCGCCACCCTGGGTCCTTCCTGTCAGCCTCTGGCCTCTGGACCGCACCAGCCAGGCATCCCGCGCAGGTTACGGTGCTTGGAGGTCATTTCCGAATCCTGATGCTCAGAAGTCAAAGAGCTCTGCCTCCTTCTCCTTCCAGAAGGAGAAGCTGCGGTCGATGTAGCGGCAGACCATCTCGCTGCTGAACTCGCCCATGGCAGACACCAGCGCCAGCTCCGGGGGGTCTCCCCCCGCTGCTGGGGCTGCTTCTGACCCTGGAGGGTCGGGCTCCGGGGGCGGGGCGGCAGGCGGGGGCGTGCGTGGGGGCGGGGAGGCCTCCCGCGGCGGCTCGGGCCAGTCCTCCCTCGGAGCCTGGGCGGCCTCTTGGGCCGGCTCCTCTGCAGTTGCCTCCTCCGCCTCTTCCGGGCTGTCTCCGAAGAACTGCCGCCTGAGGTCCTCGAAGCCGTCGCTCCAGCGGCGCCGGCCGGCCTCCACCTCCTCCAGCACCATGCGGTGGAAGAGGCGGATGCGCTCCCAGGGGTGGCTGCCCAGCCGGTCGAACATCTCGTAGCACAGCAGGTGGCGGAACTTGCGCTCCTCGCGGCTCAGGCCCATCTCGAGCAGCTGGAAGTAGCCGAGCATGAAGAGGTCCAGCGTGAGGCTGTCGTAGCTCGGGGGCGCGCCGCCGTCGAGGGCCGGCAGGAAGTGCTGCGGCCAGTACAGGCCGTGCGCCAGGCCGGGGCCG